GGGACCCATGAGACACTGTGGACCTGGCAGCAGCATGAGGAGGCGGTACAGGGGCCCATGGCAGATTAGGGGCCTGGCAGCAGCTATGGGAGGCCCGTAATCTGCCAGCACCCTATGACAAAAAATTGAACACACCAGCAGTGTGTGAGGAGACCTGAAAGTGGCACATGGCAGAGTGTGGGCGATGGAGACAGCAGCAATGGGAGGCCGTACAGGGACCCATGAGAGACTCTGGACCTGGCAGCAGCATGAGGAGGCGGTATAGGGGCCCATGGCAGATTAGGGGCCTGGCAGCAGCTATGGGAGGCCCGTAATCTGCCAGCACCCTATGACAAAAAATGGAACACACCAGCAGTGTGAGGAGACCTGAGACCTGAAAGTGGCACATGGCATGAGAGGGACTGTGGACCTGGCAGCAGCATGAGGAGGCGGTACAGGGGCCCATGGCAGATTAGGGGCCTGGCAGCAGCTATGGGAGGCCCGTAATCTGCCAGCACCCTATGACAAAAAAATGGAACACACCAGCAGTGTGTGAGGAGACCTGAAAGTGGCACATGGCAGAGTGTGGCGATGGAGACAGCAGCAATGGGAGGCCGTACAGGGACCCATGAGAGACTCTGGACCTGGCAGCAGCATGAGGAGGCGGTACAGGGGCCCATGGCAGATTAGGGGCCTGGCAGCAGCTATGGGAGGCCCGTAATCTGCCAGCACCCTATGACAAAAAATGAAACACACCAGCAGTGTGAGGAGACCTGAAAGTGGCACATGGCAGAGTGTGGCGATGGAGACAGCAGCAATGGGAGGCCGTACAGGGACCCATGAGAGACTCTGGACCTGGCAGCAGCATGAGGAGGCGGTACAGGGGCCCATGGCAGATTAGGGGCCTGGCAGCAGCTATGGGAGGCCCGTAATCTGCCAGCACCCTATGTCAAAAAATTGAACACACCAGCAGTGTGTGGAGACCTGAAAGTGGCACACATGGCACATGGCATGAGACACAGCAATGGGAGGGACCCATGGCACCTGGCAGCATGAGGAGGCGGTACAGGGGCCCATGGCAGATTAGGGGCCTGGCAGCAGCTATGGGAGGCCCGTAATCTGCCAGCACCCTATGACAAAAAATGGAACACACCAGCAGTGTGAGGAGACCTGAAAGTGGCACATGGCAGAGTGTGGCGATGGAGACAGCAGCAATGGGAGGCCGTACAGGGACCCATGAGAGACTCTGGACCTGGCAGCAGCATGAGGAGGCGGTATAGGGGCCCATGGCAGATTAGGGGCCTGGCAGCAGCTATGGGAGGCCCGTAATCTGCCAGCACCCTATGACAAAAAATGGAACACACCAGCAGTGTGAGGAGACCTGAAAGTGGCACATGGCAGAGTGTGGCGATGGAGACAGCAGCAATGGGAGGCCGTACAGGGACCCATGAGAGACTCTGGACCTGGCAGCAGCATGAGGAGGCGGTATAGGGGCCCATGGCAGATTGGGGCCTGGCAGCAGCTATGGGAGGCCCGTAATCTGCCAGCACCCTATGACACAAAAAAATGAACACACCAGCAGTGTGTGAGGAGACCTGAAAGTGGCACATGGCAGAGTGTGGCGATGGAGACAGCAGCAATGGGAGGGCCGTACAGGGACCCATGAGAGACTCTGGACCTGGCTGGCAGCAGCATGAGGAGGCGGTATAGGGGCCCATGGCAGATTAGGGGCCTGGCAGCAGCTATGGGAGGCCCGTAATCTGCCAGCACCCTATGACAAAAAATGGAACACACCAGCAGTGTGAGGAGACCTGAAAGTGGCACATGGTTTGGGGCATGATTCATGGCGGATTTAGTCAGTTGTGTGTCAGGAACTGGTGGTTTGAAATCCAGACTAATCCACACGCCTGATTCATTTTCACAAACGTGAGTCTCTCCACACTTTCCACACTTTGGGTGGACAGTCGTGTCCTCCGCGGAGTTACAATACCTCCTGCCGCACTAAACACGCGCTCCGATGCCACGCTACTGGCCGGGCATGACAGCCTTTCAAGGGCAAATTCAGCTAGTTGGGGCCAAAGGTCAAGTTTCGTTGCCCAGTAGTCAAGGGGATTGTCTACCTCGGTTGGCAGGGTGCTGTCCAAGTAGGCCAAGCCTGTTGTTTGAGGTCCTGCTCCAGGTCCACCTGATGCTGCTGCTGCTGCTGCTGCGGCTGGTTAGTAGTTTCCTCACTGCGCTGGTGAAGAAAGCTACTCATCATCGACTGCAGACTGAGGCAGCCTGCTGCTGGTGGAGCTGCCACTGCTCCTACCACCCCACCCCTCCCCTGCTGCCATGGCAGCGGAACGCGAGCGCACAGGGCCCACAGTGTCTGAGGATGGACGTTGGCGCACAAAGGCAGAGACCAGCTGACTACATAGGTGGTTTTTATAGTACGTTATTTTGGCCTCCCTCTCAGCAGGTGTGAAAAAGGCCACCATTTTTGAACGGTAGCGAGGGTCCAACAAGGTGGACAGCCAAAAGTCATCCCTCTGTGTCTGATGGTTATTATTCGGCTGTCGCTACGCAAGCAAGCGAGCATGCTATGGGCCATTTGTGCCAAGGAATGCGAGGGGACTCCCTGCCTCCATCTCCACAGCATACTGCCACGGTGCGTCTGGGTCCTCTGTCTCCTCCTCCTCCTCCTCTACCAGATGCTCCTGCTCCTCCACTCCTGTCCGCTGAGTGGAAAAACCACCCATTTCACTCAATAATTCCTGAGCACAAATGTCCTCCTCTACCTCCTCCTCTTCTTCCTGTCCTGCCCCCACAGGGGTCATGTGGCGTTGAGATCTGTGCGCCACGTCTACCGCACCCTGACCAGCCATTGTTAACAGCATTTGTTCCAGGACGTGCAACAGAGGAATGACGTCGTTCATCCCATAGTCCTGCCGACTCACGAATAGCGTGGCCTCCTCAAAGGGCCTGAGCAAGCGGCAGGTGTCACGCATGAGCTGCCAATGGCTGACATCGAAGTTACACATGGGGGAGTACCTTTATCCGCTTGTAACATCAGGAAATCGGTGATGGCCTTTCGCTGTTCGTAAAGGCGGTCTACCATGTGTAGGGTTGAATTCCACCTTGTTGCACACGTCGCAGATCAGGCGATGCTGTGGAATTCCGTTCTGCCAGCAGCTATGCAGCTCAAGGAAGGGTGTGCTTTGCGGTGAGGAATGGCTGAAATGCAATGGCATGCAAAGAGACACGTGACATTTTACAGGGAAGGATGTCTTGCAGTGGGATGGTGGATTTTAGGGCCCATGGCAGATTAACCAGGCAGAACACGTGAGGCCATGCATGGCGCATGGCACAACCCTTGACGCAGAGCAGACACCATGTTCTTTCCGTTGTCGGAGACCAACATGGTTCCGATTTTCATTTTGCGCGGAGACAGCCATCTGTCGATTTCTCTGTACACTGAGAAGTTCCTCCCCTGTGTGACTACCGTTCGACCTGGACCTGGCAGCAGCATGAGGAGGCGGTACAGGGGCCCATGGCAGATTAGGGGCCTGGCAGCAGCTATGGGAGGCCCGTAATCTGCCAGCACCCTATGACAAAAAATTGAACACACCAGCAGTGTGAGGAGACCTGAAAGTGGCACATGGCAGTGTGGCGATGGAGACAGCAGCAATGTGGACCATGAGCTGCAGCAGCATGAGGAGGCGGTACAGGGGCCCATGGCAGATTAGGGGCCTGGCAGCAGCTATGGGAGGCCCGTAATCTGCCAGCACCCTATGACAAAAAATTGAACACACCAGCAGTGTGTGAGGAGACCTGAAAGTGGCACATGGCAGAGTGTGGCGATGGAGACAGCAGCAATGGAGGCCGTACAGGGACCCATGAGAGACTCTGGACTTGGCAGCAGCATGAGGAGGCGGTATAGGGGCCCATGGCAGATTAGGGGCCTGGCAGCAGCTATGGGAGGCCCGTAATCTGCCAGCACCCTATGACAAAAAATGGAACACACCAGCAGTGTGTGAGGAGACCTGAAAGTGGCACATGGCAGAGTGTGGCGATGGAGACACAGCAGCAATGGGAGGCCGTACAGGGACCCATGAGAGACTCTGGACCTGGCAGCAGCATGAGGAGGCGGTATAGGGGCCCATGGCAGATTAGGGGCCTGGCAGCAGCTATGGGAGGCCCGTAATCTGCCAGCACCCTATGACAAAAAAAAAATTGAACACACCAGCAGTGTGTGAGGAGACCTGAAAGTGGCACATGGCAGAGTGTGGCGATGGAGACAGCAATGGGAGGTACAGGGACCCATGAGACACTCTGGACCTGGCAGCAGCATGAGGAGGCGGTACAGGGGCCCATGGCAGATTAGGGGCCTGGCAGCAGCTATGGGAGGCCCGTAATCTGCCAGCACCCTATGACAAAAAATTGAACACACCAGCAGTGTGAGGACCTGAAAGTGGCACATGGCAGAGTGTGGCGATGGCACAGCAGCATGAGACACTGTGGACCTGAGAGCTGGCAGCAGCATGAGGAGGCGTATACAGGGGCCCATGGCAGATTAGGGGCCTGGCAGCAGCTATGGGAGGCCCGTAATCTGCCAGCACCCTATGACAAAAAATGGAACACACCAGCAGTGTGAGGAGACCTGAAAGTGGCACATGGCAGAGTGTGGCGATGGAGACAGCAGCAATGGGAGGCCGTACAGGGACCCATGAGACACTCTGGACCTGGCAGCAGCATGAGGAGGAGGGGTATAGGGGCCCATGGCAGATTAGGGGCCTGGCAGCAGCTATGGGAGGCCCGTAATCTGCCAGCACCCTATGACAAAAAATGGAACACACACCAGCAGTGTGAGGAGACCTGAAAGTGGCACATGGCAGAGTGTGGCGATGGAGACAGCAGCAATGGGAGGCCGTACAGGGACCCATGAGACACTCTGGACCTGGCAGCAGCATGAGGAGGCGGTATAGGGGCCCATGGCAGATTAGGGGCCTGGCAGCAGCTATGGGAGGCCCGTAATCTGCCAGCACCCTATGACAAAAAATGGAACACACCAGCAGTGTGTGAGGAGACCTGAAAGTGGCACATGGCAGAGTGGCATGAGACACAGCAATGGACCTACAGGGACCCATGAGCACTCTGGACCTGCAGCAGCATGAGGAGGCGGTACAGGGGCCCATGGCAGATTAGGGGCCTGGCAGCAGCTATGGGAGGCCCGTAATCTGCCAGCACCCTATGACAAAAAATGGAACACACCAGCAGTGTGTGAGGAGACCTGAAAGTGGCACATGGCAGAGTGTGGCGATGGAGACAGCAGCAATGGGAGGCCGTACAGGGACCCATGAGAGACTCTGGACTTGGCAGCAGCATGAGGAGGCGGTATAGGGGCCCATGGCAGATTAGGGGCCTGGCAGCAGCTATGGGAGGCCCGTAATCTGCCAGCACCCTATGACAAAAAATGGAACACACCAGCAGCAGTGTGAGGAGACCTGAAAGTGGCACATGGCACATGGCATGAGACAGCAGCTGTGGACCTGGCAGCAGCACTCTGAGGAGCATGCGGTACGGGGGCCCATGGCAGATTAGGGGCCTGCAGCAGCAGCTATGGGAGGCCCGTAATCTGCCAGCACCCTATGACAAAAAATGGAACACACCAGCAGTGTGTGAGGAGACCTGAAAGTGGCACATGGCAGAGTGTGGCGATGGAGACAACCCACCGACTGTTTTGCTCGCTGCCAAGCTGCCACCCTCTTCTCCTGATGATGCGGAAGCAATAGCCTGATGACGACGAGGCTGCCAAGTGCGATCAGCCTCATCATCATCAATTAGGGTCTCCGCCTCACTACTAGCCCCCTCGGCTGCGTGTGGGTCAGGAGACAGACCTGTCTCTAGACCGGCTACCGAGCCACTCTCCTCGCCACTACTTCTTCGCCTGGCTGCTGAAGAGGCGGATGTCTCCCCCCGTTCCTGACCGCCCTCTGTTAGCTCTTCCTCACTGTACTGGATGACACCGGGAGCACTGGCCTCTGGCTGCGAATAGTGCTGCCTCGACCCCTTCCTCTGCTGCCACGTCTGCTCGCTCCTAAAACATTGCCTCCTCTGCCACTCCTCTGCATGTTGTCTGACATACTCTTTAATTAAACGATTCTGTGTCCCTGAGTAACAATTCTGTGTCTGTCCCTGAGTAACAATTCTGTGTCCCTGAGTAACGTTTCTGTGGCCCTAAGTAACAGTTTCTGTGGCCCTCAGTAACAATTCTGTGTCCCTCAGTAACAATTCTGTGTCCCTCAGTAACAATTCTGTGTCCCTCAGTAACAATTTCTGTGTCCCTGAGTAACAATTCTGTGTCCCCTGAGTAACAATTCTGTCCCTCAGTAACAATTCTGTGTCCCCCTAAGTAACATTCTGTTCTGTGCCCTCAGTAACACTGTTCTGTGTCCCTGAGTAACAATTCTGTGTCCCTGAGTAACAATTCTGTGTCTGTCCCTGAGTAACAATTCTGTGTCCCTGAGTAACAATTCTGTGTCCCTAAGTAACACGTTTCTGTGTGGCCCTCAGTAACAATTCTGTGTCCCTCAGTAACAATTTGTGTGTCCCTCAGTAACAATTCTGTGTCTGTCCCTCAGTAACATCTGTGTGTCCCCTGAGTAACAATTCTGTGTCTGTCCCTAAGTAACAATTCTGTGTCCCTAGAGTAACAATTCTGTGTCCCTAAGTAACAATTCTGTGTCTGTCCCTAAGTAACAATTCTGTGGCCCTAAGTAACGTTTCTGTGCCCTAAGTAACAATTCTGTGCCCTCAGTAACAATTCTGTGTCCCTCAGTAACAATTCTGTGTCCCTCAGTAACAATTCTGTGTCCCTAAGTAACAATTCTGTGTCCCTCAGTAACAATTCTGTGTCCCTCAGTAACAATTCTGTGTCCCTGAGTAACAATTCTGTGTCTGCCCTAAGTAACAATTCTGTGTGTCCCTAAGTAACAATTCTGTGTGTCCCTAAGTAACGTTTCTGTGTCCCTAAGTAACAATTCTGTGGCCCTAAGTAACAATTCTGTGCCCTAAGTAACAATTCTGTGGCCCTAAGTAACAATTCTGTGTCCCTAAGTAACAATTCTGTGTCCCTAAGTAACAATTCTGTGTCCCTAAGTAACAATTCTGTGGTCCCTAAGTAACAATTCTGTGGCCCTAAGTAACGTTTCTGTGTCCCTAAGTAACGTTTCTGTGGCCCTCAGTAACAATTCTGTGTGTCCCTCAGTAACAATTCTGTCTGTCCCTAAGTAACAATTCTGTGGCCCTAAGTAACGTTTCTGTGGCCCTAAGTAACGTTTCTGTGGCCCTAAGTAACAATTCTGTGCCCCTAAGTAACAATTCTGTGGTAACAACGTTTTCTGTGGCCCTAAGTAACAATTCTGTGGCCCCTAAGTAACAATTCTGTGGCCCTAAGTAAATTCTTTCTGTCCCTAAGTAACGTTTCTGTGGCCCTAAGTAACGTTTCTGTGTGCCCTCAGTAACAATTCTGTGTCCCTAAGTAACAATTCTGTGTCTGTCCCTAAGTAACAATTCTGTGGCCCTAAGTAACGTTTCTGTGGCCCTAAGTAACGTTTCTGTGGCCCTCAGTAACAATTCTGTGTCCCTAAGTAACAATTCTGTGTCTGTCCCTAAGTAACAATTCTGTGGCCCTAAGTAACGTTTCTGTGGCCCTAAGTAACAATTCTGTGGCCCTAAGTACACGTTTCTGTGGCCCTAAGTAACGTTTTCTGTAACAATTCTGTGGCCCTCAGTAACAATTCTGTGTCCCTCAGTAACAATTCTGTGTCTGTCCCTAAGTAACAATTCTGTGTGGCCCTAAGTAACGTGGCCCTTTCTGTGGCCCTAAGTAAGTAACGTTTCTGTGGCCCTCAGTAACAATTCTGTGTCCCTCAGTAACAATTCTGTGCCCTAAGTAACAATTCCCTGGCCCTAAGTAACAATTCTGTGGCCCTAAGTAACAATTTTTCTGTGGCCCTAAGTAACGTTTCTGTGGCCCTAAGTAACAATTCTGTGGCCCTCAGTAACAATTCTGTGTCCCTAAGTAACAATTCTGTGTCTGTCCCTAAGTAACAATTCTGTGTCTGTGGCCCTAAGTAACGTTTCTGTGGCCCTAAGTAACAATTCTGTGGCCCTAAGTAACGTTTCTGTGGCCCTAAGTAACGTTTGTGTGGCCCTCAGTAACAATTCTGTGTCCCTCAGTAACAATTCTGTGTCTGTCCCTAAGTAACAATTCTGTGGCCCTAAGTAACGTTTCTGTGGCCCTAAGTAACGTTTCTGTGGCCCTCAGTAACAATTCTGTGTCCCTCAAGTAACAATTCTGTGTCCCTCCCTAAGTAACAATTCTGTGGCCCTAAGTAACGTTTCTGTGGCCCTAAGTAACGTTTCTGTGGCCCTAAGTAACAATTTCTGTGGCCCTAAGTAACAATTCTGTGTCCCTCAGTAACAATTTCTGTGGTCCCTCTAAGTAACAATTCTGTGGCCCTAAGTAACGTTTCTGTGGCCCTAAGTAAATTCTGTGGCCCTAAGTAAGTAACAATTCTGTGGCCCTAAGTAACAATTCTTCTGTGGCCCTAAGTAACGTTTCTGTGGCCCCCTAAGTAAACAATTCTGTGGCCCTAAGTAACAATTCTGTGGCCCTAAGTAAATTCTGTGGCCCTAAGTAACGTTTCTGTGGCCCTAAGTAACGTTTCTGTGGCCCTCAGTAACAATTCTGTGTCCCTCAGTAACAATTCTGTGTCTGTCCCTAAGTAACAATTCTGGCCCTAAGTAACGTTTCTGTGGCCCTAAGTAACGTTTCTGTGGCCCTCAGTAACAATTCTGTGTCCCTCAAGTAACAATTCTGTGTCTGTCCCTAAGTAACAATTCTGTGTGGCCCTAAGTAACGTTTCTGTGGCCCTAAGTAACAATTCTGTGGCCCTAAGTAACGTTTCTGTGGCCCTAAGTAACAATTCTGTGGCCCTCAGTAACAATTCTGTGTGTCCCTAAGTAACAATTCTGTGTCTGCCCTAAGTAACAATTCTGTGGCCCTAAGTAACGTTTCTGTGGCCCTAAGTAACGATTCTGTGGCCCTCAGTAACAATTCTGTGCCCTCAGTAACAATTCTGTGTGTGTCCCTAAGTAACAATTCTGTGTCTGTCCCTAAGTAACGTTTCTGTGGCCCTAAGTAACGTTTCTGTGGCCCTAAGTAACGATTCTGTGGCCCTCAGTAACAATTCTGTGTCCCTCAGTAACAATTCTGTGTCTGTCCCTAAGTAACAATTTCTGTGGCCCTAAGTAACGTTTCTGTGGCCCCTAAGTAACGATTCTGTGGCCCTCAGTAACATTCTGTGGCCCTCAGTAACAATTCTGTGTCCCTCAGTAAACAATTCTGTGTCTGCCCTAAGTAACAATTCTGTGGCCCTAAGTAACGTTTCTGTGGCCCTAAGTAACGATTCTGTGGCCCTAAGTAACGTTTCTGTGGCCCTAAGTAACGTTTCTGTGGCCCTCAGTAACAATTCTGTGTCCCTCAGTAACAATTCTGTGTCTGTCCCTAAGTAACAATTCTGTGGCCCTAAGTAACGTTTCTGTGGCCCTAAGTAACGTTTTCTGTGGCCCTCAGTAACAATTCTGTGTCCCTCAATAACAATTCTGTGTCTGTCCCTAAGTAACAATTCTGTGGCCCTAAGTAACGTTTCTGTGGCCCTAAGTAACGTTTCTGTGGCCCTAAGTAACGATTCTGTGGCCCTCAGTAACAAATCTGTGTCCCTCAGTAAAATTCTGTGTCTGTCCCTAAGTAACAATTCTGTGGCCCTAAGTAACGTTTCTGTGGCCCTAAGTAACGATTCTGTGGCCCTCAGTAACAATTCTGTATCCCTCAGTAACAATTCTGTCTGTCCCTGAGTAACAATTCTGTGTCCCTAAGTAACAATTCTCTGTGGCCCTAAGTAACGATTCTGTGGCCCTAAGTAACGTTTCTGTGGCCCTAAGTAACGTTTCTGTGGCCCTAAGTAACGATTCTGTGGCCCTAACTAACGTTTCTGTGTCCCTAAGTAACGTTTCTCTGTCCCTAACTCTCTCCCTGAATACAGCCAGGTCTGCCTCTGTTGAATGACTGGAGGCAAATGGAGAATTCTAAAATGGCCGCCATTTATAGCTCGACCATTACACTGTGCTGGCTGGCTCGCCGCACATGTCGCCGCCATTTTAGGAAAAATTTTCGATTCGCGCATCCGAAGTCTGCTTATTTTCGGATTCGATGCGAATCGAAATTTTCCTAATATTCGAAACGAATTCCACTTCGCCTACTTCGATTCGCTCATCTCTATTGCAAACCTCAGACATGAAATATGAACAAAACGTGTCCCTCTATAGTGTTTACTTGTCTCAGTATAGAACACCTTGATGCTTAGTTCTTCTGCTGTCAGCATCAGAATCACTTCTGACAGCTTTCCCTGACATCAAGAGAAAAAAGGTGATGGGAAGCGACCTCCAGCAGATTGACAGCCTCAGTTCCTGTGTGCTTTGTAGAGAAGGTATGTCTCTTCCCTCCAATAAGCTCTCAGATCTTCCATCACTTAGCTCTGCAGTGTGTAATTTCCGCTCACTACCCCTTTTTTTTGAACTCTCAGACAAGCTTTATAAATGCTGGACTTTTAACAGATTTAGAGAAGACACCAGAGAAA